CTGGAGAGCTTCCAAACACCCCTGGCAACCTCCACCCACTTTACCCAGGCCCAGCCACACGCCCAGCAGCGGCACTCCCGCCCCAGCTGGGTGAGCATGGGGTTGAGATTCTGCGCTGCACCCACAACTCAGCTGTGGCTGCCCACAAAACAGGAACTGCAAGCATTTCACTTTCACAGAAAAGCAAGGTTTTGCTTCTCTCTATAAATGTATTTGGCTATTTTTGTGCTTAAGAAACACAGAAAGCAGACTCAGATCCAGATGCACCATTCTCTGAGACCTGGAGATTTACAGCAGAGACTCTGGAGCACATGGCATTCCAAGCTGTGAGTGGGGACGACACCTTATTCTGGAGGCCTGGGGAAGGCTGCAGAGAGCACCCCAGCGTTTTTGGTTTTAATTTACAATGAAAATAAAGCAGTTTGGGGAAAATGTCTTCAAGAAATGCTACTACTTCTCAGTGTGCAAGCCTCTTACACATTTCTCCCAGCAAGACTTCGTTCTAATGGAAAATGGCAACTGAGGCTCGAGTACACTGTGATGGGTGCTGGGCATCTTTCATCTAGAGAACAATTTGAGAAAAGAGACTCAGCCCAATTTAGTGGCCCAGCAGAGTGGCTCTCCAAGGTGGCTCTGTGACACGCATATAGCTAGGCTAGAGATGAACCTTTGTGCCTTTTTAGAGATAAAATCTCCAAGGTGACACCGTTAATCACCAAGACAGCCCTGTGGAGCATGTGTACACTAGGGTTTGAAACATGGCCTTTCTACGAACCAGAGGACCAACATGACATCACTGGTAGATTCCAAGACGCTGCCACAGCACCTGGGACAGCACAGTGCACTTGGTAGCGAGGGCTGTAGGCTTGAAGGTGTCTGACAATAACAGTGACTCAAATTAAAACCACAGGCAGTTTCAGAAGTAAAAAAGCAACGGTGGAAGTGTTAGGGAAAATCCTCCTGCTTCTGCCACGTGGAAGGGGAAAGCTGTGTTTCTCTCCTAATTCCTAGATTCCAAGACGCTGCCACAGCACCTGGGACAGCACAGTGCACTTGGTAGGGAGGGCTGTAGGCTTGAAGGTGTCTGACAATAACAGTGACTCAAATTAAAAGCACAGGCAGTTTCAGAAGTGGAAGGGGAAAGCTGTGTTTCTCTCCTAATTCTCCTAGCATCCTCCTCTGCTCAACCCAGGCATAGTCACATGCCCTCTCTTTTCTCGCTGATTCCTGTGGTCATGTGGCAGGTGGGGTCTTGGTGGACGGGGGGCAGCTACCTCTTAAAAGAATCAGAAGAACAGACACCCCTGTGGTGGTGTACACCTGTTCCTCTGGCACTCAGAGGCTGAGGCAGGAGGATCTCCAGTTCAGAGTTAGGCTAGGACAAAGGGAACTAGTCTAGCTGTAGCCCCAGGGTAAAAGCTTTAAGCTCAAGTTTGTCCAGGAACCTCAGTGCCACCTGCACCTTGGCCCCAGGTAGAGACCTCCTGCTTCTAACAAAGCTCTGCTTCCTGACCTCCACAGCTGCCCTCCAAAGGTCTGAGATAGCAATGCCACCAGATAACTGTAAAGGCATACTACGATTTACAACTCTCAGGGCACAGTTCAGGGATGGAGCATGTACCAAACACACCTGAGGACCTGGATTCTATTTATAGCTCCAAAAAGACCCTGGAATTCATCTGCATCTGAAGTTTAAGTTCCACTTTCTCCCTGAAATAACAGAACATGCCACAAAAGTGTGTCCTGAACAGATGTCTGAGATTGTGATACTTGAACTCTTGGCAAAAGGCATGAAGCCCTACTCTGGTGAGCTGGTACACCCCACCAAGATGGCCTACAAATGTCATCTGAAGTTTGACACTGAGTTTTGGAGATTCTAAACAGTCAGTGGGACATGTCAGATAGAATTAGACACTGCCCCAAAAAGTAAAAACTCCTGTTTTATCACCTCTTACATGAGGCTTAAAGGAGTTTCTGTGAAGTGATTCATTTTAACGGCTGGACAAAACCTGAGTTTACAAAGGAAAGGGGAGGGTAAGAGATGGTGATGAACAGGTGCAGTAACTGGGTGTGTGCAGTATTTTCAATGAGTAGCTGAGATATGGCTAAACCCCCAGCAGTACAGCTGTAATCTGCGCAACTGCAAAGCCACACGTGGCGACGTGGACCGAGCATGGTCAGTCAGTGTAGCACTGAGCTGTAGGCAACTGAGTGGACACTCCCCGTTCCCACCACCCATGCTCGTTCCCTCTCACTGCTGCACAGCAAGCCTGTGTTTAACCAGCTCCCATGCTGAGGCTGGTTATGGATACTTCTAATTAGCTGTCCTTTGCCAATTTAAGGAAAAGCATATTGGAAGATCTGAGATTACCCAGGGTCAGGGGAGAACTGCTAAACCACTGAAGGACAGATGGTTTTCAGGGAATTGAAACCTCTGTGTAAGATACTGTGATTGATAGCATCATCAGACATTTGTCCAAACCCTGAGATGGTACCACAGCATGAGTAGAGACCGATGTGCACTAGGACCAGCAGCAATGACGGGTCCATGATGGGAAAAAACACATCACCTGTGGGTGCTGGTGGTGGGTGTTGTCAACTGAATGGTCAGGGCTGCCAGGTACAGGCTGCCTACCTCCCAAGAAAGCAGTCAACAGGTTGTCAGCAAAGCCTGTTCTAGCTGATCCAGGGCCGAACCTGTACAGGTCATTCTCTGATAATCAGTCTCCAGGTATATATCTTTCTCTTAGTAGGTCTGCTTGGGTGCTGCTTATATAATTACATGTGATAAATAAAACTGTTCCTTTGTCTTAGAAGTTCAGCTTTGGCTACTGCTGATGCAAGTACATGTGATTAATGAAAGTCTGATTACTGAAACTGTGTGGCTCATAGGAACTTGTGGTTTTGTACTATATTTCTATAGTAGATTCTTTCTTGCTTTGAGGCAAGGTATAAAAACATTGTTATCCTGCTATAAAGTGCCTTCATGGTCATTAGCCTTCATGGTCATTGGCCTACACGATCATCAGCCTGCATGGTCATCGGCCTACACGATCATCAGACTGTATGGACACTGGCCTACAGGTCCTCCTGATCTCAGCTGTTTCTGTGTCTGTGTCTTTTCTCCTTAATCCCCTACCCTTCCCACTCAGGTTTTAGGGACTCCTGCAGTTGGACTGCGGCAGGTGGGGTGCTGCAAATGGATGGACAGAAAGATACAGGGAATTGGAACGGCTCTGAAAATGAAGTTTATGCATACAACAGTCCTCAATTTAAAAGCCATGCTGCCATCAGTGAGGCCAGGGGCTGTGTGTGAGTTTCTTTTCCTGTGAGCTGTCTTTCCAGGTCATCTCAACACTTTCTTAGGTTGCTTTTGTTCTTCAAGTTCAGTAAGAAATCTTTGTATATTAAGTACATTAATTCTTGGTTATGAATTATCTACAGGAAACATTTTCCCAATTTTTAAAATAAATACTTTGGCACCTCTACACAAACTATTAGACGTGAAAAGGCTGTTTCATTTTCTTTCCCCAGAAAGGCAACTTCTGGGTGAGACTTTGTCTACCACACATTGACACAGCATCTTAACTCTACTGCTTTTTGTTTTGTGAGGTTAATGGTTCTATTTCTAGTGAAAATTCTCACTCAGAGGGAGTGTTTAGAGGATGAAGGCAGGGCTGGCTTCCCAGGTGACTGGCCAGTCCTCTTCTGCACCCTCAGAATGATCCTGTGGCCCACTGATAAGAAATGACCCTCAGTCAAGCATTAATACCCCAAGCCCCTGAGGACTGTTTGCACTGGATGTATTTTTAAAGCAATGTTTCCGCTTCTCAGGATGTAAACAGTCACCAGTACGCTCCAGGTAAGTGGTTAGAAAACGGTTAGTTGAATTTTCTAAGTAATCCTATCTTTCTAAGCAAAACCCCTTAAGGGCTCTCTCATATACAACCCCAGAACCCATTCTTGATGGTCACACTACAAGACACCTGGCCCCTGCTGGGGCACATCCTATCACCAGCATCCAGCAACAGGGTACACTCAGCAAAACTCACCTCTATAGTGTGGGTCTCCACACTGGCCATAAACACCTGCCCTCCTGAGGCTGCCCACAGCGCATCTTCCACCAGCAGCAGGCTTCTGACGGGTAGGACGCCCAACTTGATCACCTGCTGAGGTTCTGAGTTCCAGGATCCATCTTAAAAGAAAATATTACTTTTAGTTCCCCTTGAGCTCAGGTAACTGTGTACAGGGACAGACAAACAGTTACGGATCACTGTAAACAACAGGCAACCCGAGTACCAGTTACCAATCTGACGCTTATGCTGAGGGCCATGTGTCCAGAGCCTCCAGGACCAGCCCTGACTCACAGAGCCTTTGGCATGGGATGACAGAGGATGGCAGGCAGGATGAGATGCCTTCCTCTGGGTCCTAGTCCAATGTGCATGTCTCCATAGAAACCTCCAGTTATCAGTAAGATGGGAACAGCACTGCCACCAGCCTCAAAGCTTGTTTTAAGAACTAAAAATGAGTTGCACATGTCAAAAGCTCATCACAGGACCTGCCACTCAGTTCCATAAATCCTAATATGTATAGTAATAATGCCCAAAAGAATTCAGGAATTGCACCTGAAATAACTGCAGAAATGTTTAAACTTTATCAACTGCTGACATTTCAAAACCTTTGATGTGTACAGTACCATAAGGAGAACCTGTCTTTACTGGCTTTGAAAATTAAAGATAGAAAGTAAGCAAAAGGTCCCACCCTTCTGATGCTGTGCTCCCTTCCTGATGCCCAGGGAGAGATAACATATTTGGGTTTGAGAATAGTTTTAAAGATATGCAGTGCATTCTACCATGCTTTATTCAATAGCATAGAGCTCATAAAAACTTAGTGACCCATGTGATTAACCTCCAAGTAAATAACTAACCCTTCGGTCTCCATCCTAGCCATTAAGCCCTAAGCTTCCAAAGGTAAGCACACAAATGCTTCATAGTCATGTGACTTCACTCAACTCAGAGAGAAAGCATGATCGCAGCTTTTTGTCTTTCCCTGACTAGAAGCCCCAAACCTCTAAATGCAAAACTCTTGAACAAATGGAGCTGAGCTGGGCTGTCAATCAGAGACAACTGGGCCCACTTTGGCTGCTGTAACATGCTTGTTGTTATAATGCAACTGTAAAGGGAATTCTGCATGGCACCCAGGCTGAACGTGCCAGGACAGTTTTAAGCCCCCGATGTCTAGCCTAACTTTCATGCAATAGCTACACTGGGTCCACACATGGCTTAACACCTCTGTGTATGCACACATGCATGCATGCACACAGGACTGCAGGAGTGCATGCATATCCACATCCACACATGCACACTGCTCACACATGCACCCACCTTCACCTAGACCCTGACAGACCCTCACATTCACACACACAGCCTCCTCGTCTGGTACTCACAGCTCTGTAAAGCACTGCAGCCTGTACCTGTGACAAACACATGAGCTCAGAGTGGAATACAACTTCCTCTGACATTCCCATGCTCCCAGGACATGACATGGCATGGGAGTACAGGCCTCTGAACAGGACAGAGCTCTTCTCACAGGTTGCCAGGACAGTTCAGGGTGCCAGGATGGTGCAACTGACAGTATGATTCCTTTGAAATGGGAAATCAAAGACCGAAGATGAGATAATCCACTTTGGACATTTTACTTTGGTTAGGGATCAACTGCCAACAATTGCCTTCTGTTTTATGAGCACCTAAGCTGTCCTTTTCTTAGATACTTTGTCCTTGTCTCCCTGGATGGGGTGATGTGCAACCTCATTGCTGAATGTGTATGAATCTGAGCCAATGGGGCTACCTCATGGGACAACTCCTTCCAGAGTTTATGCCCCAGGCTAGAACTCCCAGGCAGGCCACCCGTCCCATACCCAGACTCCATGACAAGCTAAGGCCATTCAGAACCAGCCTTCACAACCTGGATGTTTCCCACTGAGTCCTAGTTTCCAAGTCCCTTAGGAAACCCCAGGCCTGCCTGTGACTGACTCCCACTCAGATGCCCCCTCTACCTAGAAAGGCAGTGGCCTCCAACCAGTCACATCCTCTGCCAACAAGCTTAGAAGGACCACATTCTGTTCATGGATGCTCACTCTACCACATAGGACTGCCACACCACTCGGAAAAGGGGTTTAAAACACAAGAGACCTGCTGGGTCTGCAAAGACAACGGGTCTGGGGACACGGCTCAGTGGCCAAACACACAGGTGTAGTGCTCTCAGTTCAATCCCCAGTGTCCCAAAAATAATAAAGATGATATAATGAAATGGATGTGTGTTCTAAGTCACTATGTAAAGTTTGATGGTATAATGTTAATCTAACTTGGGCAAATTACACCAGAGTCACTTAAACACTCACTCAAACACACAACGATGGAAAAATTGCCATTGACCTCTGAAATCAGCTCTGGACTCCTTATATACCCCTGGAGTCACCTCCCTCCTGCTTGCAAATCATCAATAACTCCCATGCAAACTGGTCTCCACTAGAGCCTTGAAGAAAGACTTGACTTGCAGAACTGGACAGCAAGGTCCAACAACAGAGGAGGACAAACATAAATCCCAGTGGTGGATAAAAAATCTCAAGCTCCCAGACCGTGTTCTTCCTTAATAGTGATCAGCAGGGTGGTGAGGAGCTTTCTGGCCATTTTGAAAGCTCGTTAGCAAATATTCAGAAAGGACCATCAGGTATGAAGGGCAGGCTATGGAGGGAACACCAGGTCCCACTGTGGAGGCAGCAGCACTGACTCCTCCAGATGTGCAGAAGCTGGAGTCAGAGGCCAGGTCTCAGGGAGCTGTGGGGTCGGGTACGCAGATACAGAGGGCAGGCCTGGGCACTTGGTGAGCATGCCTGGCAGGAAAAAGCCAGGCGTGGGGCTTCAGCTCTGTTATACCCCTGAATGAGGAGCCAGGAAGGAAACCTGGCCTCCAGCCATGCAGCACAGAGGACAGCCCCTGGAATAGCATCTCTACCAAGCAGTGGATGAAACTCCTGAGAACTCACGAAAGCAGCAGCACCGCACTTGAGACGTGCAGGTTCCCAAAGTCTGATGGACAGTGTGAGGCAGCCTGAAGGCAGCCCACACCCTCTCATCTGCTGAGAGAACCAGAGAGGAGACAGAAAGCCAGGATGCAAGCAGGGTCCACAGGAGAGCCGAGGCCTGGTAGACCCTCCTGCTGTTTCCAGCAGAGCCCACGAGGATAGCCAGTTAGATCGGAGTGTGCCGCAGGAGGACTGGAGGCTGAGGGGTTCTACAGGGGGATCAGGCTCAGAGTCTGGGATTCTGCTCAGGCAGGTGAGACCAGGCTTCTCAGTGCTGTGTGGAAGGGCCATGCTGAGAGAAGTCCGGATGCTGCCACACTCTCACGCCGCGGTGGGCTTGAGAGACACAGGAGGGCTTAGGAGAGCTCAGGAGCACCAGGGCAGGGTGACAGACTGGTCTGCACTAATCGGAGTTGCTGCGGAGTAGGGAGAAGCCCCTGGAGGCCAGCTTTGTAAACAACTTTCCACACATCCAGGAATGCCTTTTCAGGGAAGGAGCGAGTTACACAGGCCCGGGGCCAAGACTGACAAGCACTGTGGAAGATGAGATGGCCCATTACCCAAGAGTCGGGGCTGAGTGGGGATTACCTGGAGCCCTGGTGTAGCTGGCCACTGACCCATTGACCAGGCCAGCGTACAGGCCCTGGGGTGAGCAAGCCAAGCTCAGGACCGTGGACTTGTCGGGAGTGAAGAAGTGCTGAAGTCTCACTTTCTTGCAGCCCTGGCTGCTTTTGTAAATGGAAATACTACAAAAGAAAAGCAGGATTAACAGCCCGCCGCCTCACCTGCGAGAAGGCCAGGGCACCTATCAGCACCCGCACACTGCGTGAGGCATCTCAACTCCCCACAGGGCCTCTTCCTTCTCCTGAACTGAGAGATGCCTGGCTATGTCTGAAAACCTGCAGCCACTCTTCTTTTTTGTAGTTTAAGTAGACATTCTGGAGTTATAAAAACATTTCTTCCTATGTATCTTGGAATATTAATTTAACTTTCCATTAAACAGTGTCAACATTCAACATGATTATAATATAAAATATGGTTGTCTTATTCCAAAACACCAAGAAGCGTGCATTTTAAAGCATCACTCCAGGGCAAACAGAACAGTGTGGAACTTTTCCCCCTTGAAAAACTATCACATCTCCTAGGCACTTTCCTGGAATAATTTCCACGGGCCTGGTATTCTCGTTATTTTGGAGTGCAATAACTAAAACCTGCCCCTGCCCCAAATCTTATATTACACTTATCCCTCCCCACAGGGGAAGTAGCTTATCCTATCCTAGGACAGACCCCAGCTGGGAATGACTGCTCCAATGGTGGGCAGATTGTGGAAACATCTAGGACAGACCCTGGCTACGGATGAGTCCTACAAGGACGAGGTTCTCTACCTTCCCTCTTCGGTGCCCAGGCAGATCGTGGGGACATGGGAAGCTCTTGTGGCTGTGGCCTGGGGATCCATGGTTTCACGGGGCTCTCCTGGCTGCAGCTCCTCTGCAGGAATATATACCATACACAGGATGCGTGACTCCACGTTAAAGCACTCGATGACTTTGGGGTTGGAACTCTGAAAGGAGACTATGGCGACTTGACCCATCTGATTGCTACAACTTCCAATCTGAGACAGAAAGGGAGAAAGAGAGTGAATCTGAGCACTTCTGGGATTGCTACAACTTCTAATCAGGCATGCTTCCAGGATATACTGACACTTGACCTGTGAAGGTATTGGTTTTCATGTGAGACTCAATTCTTACAAAGATCAAATGATGTAAAATGATCTCTAACAGAGCCCCTTTCTCTTTTCAACATGCTTAATTTGTTGTTTTTTAAATTTTTCAATAACAGGAACTTAACTTCATTTTCAAAGTGGCAAATGTAGTCACTGAACAAAGATGCTCATCGTAATACTAAGGGGCCTATTCATACCCGCTTTATAAAGTACTAAAGAGCAAATCAGTATCGTGTTTAAGATGATGCTGCCATTCACCAGCTCCCAGTCTTGGTGAGAATAGGCCTTTCAAGCGGAAACACTGAAAAGAACGCAGCCCAAAGCAGGCCGAGCAGGCAGGATGCTGTCGAGCAGACCCAGGATTCTACAATGGGTCTTACGAACTTCTGGGAGCCTGAGTCCATCCTCAGAAGACTTGGCAGAGTTACAGTCCACACCACAAATTAAATTTTAACTGTGTTTATGTGAGACAGAGCCTGATCTGCTGATAGTTAAGTCAAGAAGGAGCCGGACCCCAATCCATGCTGACAGACAGCAGGCTGGTCTCCCAGTACTCATAGACCCTTTCTCCTCCCACCAACTTGGAGAATGTTCTCACACCTTCCTGTCCCTCCTACATGTGCTCTGTATTATAAGTAACCTTCTGTGACCCTGCTGGAAGGAGGCCTGGGTCACCAAGTCCCTGGCAGCCTCAGGGGAATGGGCATGGATAAATCAATCAAGTACCAACAGCCATAGGTTCATTCCAAAGGAAATTCCAACCCAGAGGACATTCAGCCTCCTCCTTGGTCTCTAGGTGGGTACAACTGAAAAACCAGCTAGCCACACTGCCCCACTCTCGATACACCAGGAACAGTGCCCAGCAGCAGCTCTGGCTATGACAGGAGATGTCAACTTGGAGCAAAGTGTACCCGAGACCATCAGGCTGAATGTGGACCTCCCATGGCCAGGAGAGGGACGAGAGGCTTGGGATCCAGATCCCAGAATTTGCTCTGGTTTGCATGAACCAAAAAGGTCTAGTGTCACTAAGACAGCTCAGAGCCTGTATTTCATTAGAATAGATTAATTTTAACTAAGATTCCAGTATTAAAAGTCAGCAATGCCATGGAAGGAAGAAGCCCGTGGAGCGAACGTGAAGACGCATGAAAGGTAAATTCACGGCACTTAGGTTAGCCTCTTCGGGCTGACGTCAGCTGTAAATTTCACACAAAAAGAGACAGAAGTTGACATTTTAATCCCTAAGATGTCGTGTCTTAGAGGAAGGGCTCTATTTGGAAATCCAGCTGGCATTCTCTGGTGATGAACTCCCCTCAGTCACCTGACAGTTCAAAGCTGGGCTTCTCCTCACCCTAACCATGTATATGTCAATTCTTAGTAAACCTGCCTAAAGACAAACCCAGAACCTTACCCACAGGAAGCCTCGTGCTGTGGAAAGTGAATCTGGTTGACCATCGTTGCTCGGGTAAGGCTCGGGGTTATAAGCTGCACATTCAATCTACAATGGAACATGACAGTCGTTTCACAATGTTTTCTGTCCTTGGTTGACTGAATCTATGGGTCCCAAACCCTTGGATACAGACAGCCAACTGTGTGTCACAAGGTTATTCTACAAAGATGAATTTCCAAGATTTAGTTGTTGGTGTTTTGGTCTTTAGACAACCTCCTCACAGCACTGTGGGTAGGGGACATCAGCCAGGAGGGCTAAAGTCAGGAGCAGAACAGCAACCACAGATGGTATAGCCACTGGCTTCCAGTCATTCCCACTTGAGCCAGGGAAGGGGAAAAGGTAGTCCCCAGGAAGTAAGCCAGAGACCAGGAACAAGAAGTTTAAAAAAAAGAGGCATTAATTTCTTTATTAAAGAAAGGTATAGCATCACGTCAACAGCATTGCACCGTGACGCCTGAGGGAAGGGCACTGTGTCCACAAGATGCCCCTACAGCTTCAGCAGGGAAAGAGCAGACCACATACAGCACACACAGGCCTTGAGTCCTCGCCCTTTGCAGAAAGGTGCTATAAGCCAAGCCTGGGCATTACAGAGCAACCAGGCAGATGTTGCAATGCAGTGGCCATGGGGCCTTTGGCTGGGGCAAAGACAGATACTGAGCCTCATTTTTAGGCTCCCAGGAACTGCTGTCTCCAACACTGCCAATGTATTTGTTCCTGAGAAGCATTCACTGGGGCTATCTGCAAGGCAGGGTATTATACCAGTGGTAAATCCTCCGCAGAACTTGGTGCCTTCTGGGGCCCTCACCTTGAACTCTGGCTGCCTGGCCACCATCACGGGCATGTGTCCCACCAGAAGAGGGTGCGTCTCCTTCTTTGCTAGGTTGCCATCATCGTCCACACAGAACCAGCCCAGGTGGTTCTCCTCCTCTGTAAGCACATGAGAGAGAGCAGAGCTGGGCTGCTGCAGTGAGTGTGAGCAGCTCCCAGGCCCTAGCAGCAGTACCTGACACCCGACTGCTTGAGAGAAAGAATGGTTTGACCTTGGTGGCCTTTCCCTGGGGTGGGGCGAGCACTCACTGCTGTACCTAGCTTGTGGGTGTGCCATGTGGCCACATCCTCCCCATCTGCTCCTTAACTGAACATACCAGTGTGATGGGCTGTGTCCACCCCACAGACCCAGATCCTTCAAGTAGCTGAGCTGGTTAGATTCAGTAAGAAATTCTAAACATGAAGAAATACTTTGCTGCTAAAACAAACGGCCATCCTAGCCTTGAGGACACATTAAGTAAAGGTAAAAGGGAGCCTGTCATGTTATTTCACAGTGAGACACTGCCTTGTTCTCCGAGTCACAACCCACTGAATCATTCAAGAAGAGACGAGGAGCCATGCTCCTGTGTTCAGTCAGGTCAGGCAGGCTCCACTTCACAATAAAAGTCCTTTTCCTGTCACTAACCATTGCTCTGTAAGGGATCCACAATAGCTGGCTGCTCGCTCCTGTTTCACTCCTAGGTGACATTTCAGATAGTCTGCACTTAGAAGAGGATTTCACAACATGTGCACACACCTAGCCACAAGCAGGTCATCACATACACACACATCCAGGCCAATATACATACCAACATTCACTCACATGCCACATACATGCATACACATGACACTCCACTGCATGCTGAGTAAGAGATCCATTCATGTAAATTTCGTATGTGCTTATAAAATTGAGATGGATCTGTCTACCTATCATCCATCTATCTATCATCTATCTACTATCTATCTATCTATCTATCTATCCATCATCTATCAATACATCCATCCATCCATCCATCCATCATCTATCTTCTGTCTACATATCTATCATCTACCAGCCTATCTACCCACTTACCTTTCATCCATTTGTCATCTATCTACCTAATTTCAGTCTTTCTATTCACCCATCTATCTGTCCAATTACCTACATACTTATCATCTAAATCTACTTAATTACTTAACCTGCCACTCATCTTGTCTGTCTACCTAACTAAAAGGACAAAAGAACAAGAAAATAGTCATAAAGCCATACATGCCCACGTTAGGACCACAGGACTTATTACTGGAGCTGGGGGTCCTCAGTGACAAGGCACTGACACCCTGCACTCTGTGTCAGAGTAGGTGGCAACACACAGGCTGAGATGCACAGTGACCTTCCTGCTCCTTGGACACTGACCTACGTCAAGGTCTCAAGCTCCTGGCCAGGGTCACAGCCTTAGGGGCCCACACTTGTGCCCAACAGTCACAACATACAGCTATGTCCTGTCCCAACAGACACCATTGATTCATTCTTTAGGTCCCTGAATTACAATACATAAATATGCTTAGCATACAGTTCTGGGGTTAATTTTTCTGCTAAAACCATTCTTCTAGGTCAGTGGAAGCGTCCCTTGCTAAGCTCCCTCTCCATCCTGGTTTTTCCTTCCCAGGTACACGCTTCACCTCGGGAGTTCTCTGAGGACTATGAGACACGCATCTCTTAGTGGAGTGTGGCCATTTAGCTTACCTAGTGCCAGCTTGGCCATCTGCAGGCTGCTGACCCAGGACTCCTTGATGGACGGGGTAAACGTATTGAACACGGCAGTAAAGAAGGTGGGCCTCCCGGACCTGCCAGGGAGAAGAGAAGCATTCGCCTTACAAACCATGCTCTACCAGGTGCCCATGTGATGTGAATGACTTGCCAGCATACAGCATGACAGGGAACCATTTCTTTTCTTTTGAAGTTGCTACCTTAGGGGGCTGGAGAGACAGTGAGGTGGTTAAGAACACTGGCTGCTCTTGCAGAGGATGAGGGTTTGGTTCCCAGCACCCACAAGGCAGCTAACTCTATAACTCTAGTTCCAGGGGATCCAATGCCCTCTTCTGGCCTCTGTAGGCATTGCATACATACATATACAGTTGCACTTAACATACATGCAGACAAAACACTTATACATATAGAAATTTTTTTAAAAAGTGAATGCATTTACACTGAAGGACATTTGGGTACAAGCCCCTGAACAAATAGGACTCAGCATGTATGGCGGAGTACATGGGTTCAGTGGGAGGATGAGGGAGGGAGGCATGGATGGAGGAGTGTCTGGATTTGATTAGGAACTGTTATATGAAATTTTAAAAGCTCAATAATATATATGTATAATTTAAAAAATAAAAAATAAAAGGACATGTTCTCACAAAACGAACAAACGAACAAAGGAACGAACAAACAGTAAGTCACTAACTTATCCTGCTTCCCTGGGAGCTGTAACTGAATTCTGCAGCGGTCAGCAGCTCTGATTTCATCTTCTTTTTTCAAAATCAGTCTTTGTAACCCTGATGTCCAATCATGAGCTACTGACTGGTTTAAGTTCTACAGAGAAAATGCATAACACGTGTGTTAGGTGTTTCATTGTTCTTGTTTTGCTTTGAGACAGGATCTCACTCTGTTGCCCAGGCTGGCCTGAAACTCACGAGGTAGTCCAGGCTAATCTGAAACCATGGCAGGTCCTCCTGCCTCGGCCTGCCAAGAGCTGTGATTACAGGTATGAGCAATCACGACCAACTTAACACATATTTTCAGAGGGGGAGAAAAAGTAAAGTTATAACATGGGAAACTCAGGGAAACCTGATCGCATTCACGTCTGGCTATGAAAACGAATCCTTTGGGGTCAACAGTACCATGCAGAAAACTTTCTGAGATAAAACTGCTGCTCTAGTGCCTTCCCAACATGAAGGAAAGCTGTGTGTGCTGTGATGGCTTCACCTCCTTCAAAACAACAGAAGAGGTGTGTTCAGCCCTTAGTCACCTGAGCACTCACTGTGGGGAACCTGGAGACAGCCCCAGGCTCACAGAGTTGAAAGCCACTGCAGTGTTGTGTCCAGGAGTCCCGAGTTACCTGATAGCTCCCTCGGAGAGTTCCGACCAGCTGTGAGATCTGTCCGGCTACATTCAGGTCATGCAGTAGATTCTGTAGATCCTGATACAGTTGCCCTGGCCCCATGTAGACTTTGTCTGAAAATATGAAGGAAAAACAAGAATCACTTACTCCAATGCTTGGGAAGGGATGGCTAAAAAATTCTAGCATTTTTTTTAATTGGGGAAGATGGGGAATTTTAAAAAACAGTTTTAAGCATTCAGTAGTTATTCCTTTTCTAACTGTTATTTTGAGATAATTTTTCACATTCAGAGTGATGCCCCTCATGTGCCTATTCTAGGCCAGCATCTTACAGAACCATAGCATGATGTTTAGGATGACACAGCATTCATTGCCTTGCCATGTACAAATGTCAACAGTACCTGCAATGTGGCTCACTGTTCTCATCCTGGTCCAGCCTAGGCCCCAGCAATCCACTGAGTGTCCTGGCCTTTACTGGTCCACAGACTGGGACGGTGTCACAATCACTGTCTTTGATGACTTTGACTCTTTTAAAGGACAGTGCTGAATCACCTTATAGAATGTCTCACAATGTGACTGATGTTCTGTAACTTTTAGTTACACACACACACACACACACACACACACACACACACACACACATGGGAGGGGGACACTCTTATATCTCAGGCCTATCTCAAACTTTCAAAGTAGCTAAGGATGACCTTGAACTCATGATCCTCCTGCCTCCATCTTTGGATTGCTGGGATCACCACCCCACCCAGCTTATGCAGTGCTGTGGAATCAAACCCAGAGTTTCACAAATGCTAAGCAAGCATTCTATCAACTGAGCTACATCCCTGGCTCCCTAGTCACAAACATAATTACTATCAGTAGGAAGTATCCAGAAATTATATTTAATCTGAATCACATTTCCAATATTTGTGGATCACTTAACACCACAAAGTTCCCCAGAGATTTTTTTCCTTTATGGAGGACTTTATGGAGGACTTAGTGATGGTGCTTCAAGAGGTGACATGTTAACACTGTCTCTCACAGTTGTATGAGTACTGAGAACAGACCCTCGGCCCTCAGCCTCACATGAAAGCAGCCCAAGGCACACACAGGCAGGTGGTATCTGAAGTCAAAACTGCATGCAAAGCCATACTGGAAACCAGCATGCTGCTCATCCTGTCCTCTGGCCATGTTCCATATCAATAAATCGTCACAGTCAGCCGAAGGAAGAGCCAGAATTCAAACCCAGATAGAAAAGACTCATTCGGGTTGAAGAGAGCAGCAGGCTTTGGAACCTAGGTCCCAACCGGGTGGCTGCCTGGCCACAGCTCCGTTTCATGCGTCCTAGGGTGAGCAGAGCCCAGCTGGCTTGGCTCCAGGCTCTGCTGCCAACATCTTTAGATTCTTAATGATTCTCAACAAGTGACCTGCCAAGTTCATTTTGCACCAGGTCCTGAGAATCATGGCTTATCCCATTCTTCATTCTGTCTAATACACACCTGTGTCAAAACAGACACAGCTATATATTGCTGTGATAAATGCTTCATAAGCCTATGTACCTCAAACTCACATTGCTTTGCCAAAGATGAGGCATTCTGCATTGAAGACATCATCACATGGATAGCTAGTTACTTGGACTATAGGTTCATTTTTAGCACTTATCACAAATTCTTGAACTAACTGCTTTTGAAGTATCTTCAAGTTTCACTGAAAAATGTACTAGATGCTGTCTATACACGCACCAGTTGTATCTTTCTTTATGCTCACAAATCAAAATACTTTTATGTGATAATACACCTGTTCTTTCATTTACAAACTTTTGAGAATAAAACTATTACCATAGGCTTGTAATGTTATAAGGGCTATGTTAACTTTATTAATCTATCAGCATCTGTTTTGCATTACCTCTGTAATTATTATAAAAAAAAACAAACAAGAATCTTATTTTTGGTGGGTGCTCTAGAAATTTTAGGACACATGCAGATTCCTGTAACACTCTTAGCCCACAGACCAGGGCCCACAAAGCATCACCCGTGAAAACCCCCACTGTCCCCTCAGGGTCATACCCCCACCTTGGCTCTGTTCTCCACCACTACATTTTGTTTTGCAGCATGTCACATCTATTGTTAGCCTATAAACAGTACACTTGTATTTGCACAGGTGTTTGGTTGACAGGCCCTTTTAGAAGAAACTCCTTGGTTTGGAGGATAAGTGTGCACACTGACCAGCTTCACCTTGGGCAGCAAAGCCATGTCACTCATCAGATGTCTGCACAGAGAAGACGGGTCTGCACCCTCCTGCTGAGGAACTCTGCCAGGTTCCTCACGACCCACCTCGGAGACACAGGCTGAATAATTAGAAGGGATGCCAATTTCTTGGCAACTGTTTCTAAATTAAGTATGTCAGGAGTATGCCATGTGTGCTTAAATTTGGAAAGCAAATACTTCTTCCTTCCAGTAAGCTGACCTGTGAATGCTCCCCATCTTTAAACAGATAATCTTTTCTAGTTAAGCCAGCCTTTCCTGAAGTGCAAACCCTGGGTTGGACCACTCGAGTCTGAATGCCATAGGTGGCGATGCTGCATTCTGCCCCCGTTTCTCCATACGTGACAGGCATCCTCACTGGAGGACATAAGTATCTGAACCTTGTCTGCCTCAGTGGCCAAAACCAGGACACTACTGCCTTTTCCCCCACACCCCACAGAACTGGGGGCACATTTTATGAACTAACACATATGCACATCACAGAAAATATGTGGATTATCTCGGCATATGAAGGAAAGGTTCTCATACTGCTCATAATGGCCTCCGGCTCTGAAACCCCGTCCAGGTTCCTCTATTTCCCTTTTCCCTTCAACGAAAACAAGTGGCAGGTTAGACAGTGTCTAGATGTCCCCGCCTGCTCCTGTCACATGTAGGACAACAGTCTACATGTGACAGCTTCTTGCATTTCATCCACTGAGACACCCCAGGCTGAAAAATAAAATTTGAAAAGTATGTGTTTATCTGTGTGTGCATGCATGCTATGTGTCTGTGACTATGTACATGTGTGCACCCATGTGCACCATCATCAATGTGAACTCAGGACAAGAAGGGAAGATCCATTCTTCTCAGTAGATTAAAGACTCTTTTATATTGAGACCACACGAGTGTCTCTACCTCTCCCCAGCACAGGGAAATGTACCAAGTGCCACCCAAGCCTGCACACCTGACATCAGGACCACAGAAGACCAGGAAACCATCACAGAAGACCCTGGTGCACTGGCGGCAAGTCAGAGCACCTATGCTCAAAGTATGACCTACAAAAAGCAAAACATCAGTAAGACTTTCAAATGCTACCGTGGTAAAGGGAAGAATTATTTTTGCTTTATGGCTTAAACTTACTCATCAACTAAATATATGCAATCAAAAATTTTGCTACAGCTGGTTTCTAGCTACCTGGTGGCAAAGTCTGAGTATTCTGGATTCCGTGGGCCGATTCTCTGTTGCCGGCTGGCACATAATTGCTCCATGTCTTTCCATGGTGTTTTCACAGACACTGCCCTTGTTTCCATGGAAATCTCTGGGACTAGCTAGAAAATTCAGGGTGTAAGCTGAATGGACTCTTACGTGACAAACAAGGAAGGGGTTGTGTGGCTAAGTCAACAGCAAGGACATCTACAACACAATGGTCAGAGTGTGGACTCCAGCATGACCCTCAGCAAGTCCTGTGGTTAAAGTGTCGCCTCTGCTGGTTGAGAGATGTCAGGGTTTCCCAGGCCCAGCAGGAGGCTAGGAACAAGGACACTGCAGAACAGAGAGCTCTTAACTTCTGAAGGGGAGGCCGAGAGCTAACAGGGCACATGTGTTGAGCAGAGGGAGGTAGAGGGCAGGAGCACAGTGGAGGGATGTAACGCACAGGTGTCAAGAGACGTAGACCACTAAGTCCCTACAGACCCCCTGTGTGGCCCCCTAGAGCTACCACCAATCTCACTGCCAGGTGAGCATCACTTCCCAAAACTCCAGCTGAGCTTCCCAGTGGTCTCCAAAGAGCTGGCAGGACTTGGGATGGTTGTCACCCCACAGTGGCAGAGCAACTGGCTCCAGGCTGAGTCCTTTTCTGTCCTCACTTGCCCACAGAGCTCCTTCTCTGGGTTAAAGCTTCTCTGAGAGTAAAGTTGATACTTACATAGGAAACAGAGCTAGCCAGAACTGCCCTCCAGTAATGAAGCAAGACAAAACTCACACCCCCTCAGGCTGTGAACAAGGTGTGAAAGTGAAGTCCAAACATGAGTGCAAGACGGCTCCCCTACAACACGCAGGTGAGATTTATAACCCAGCAGCCACACTCCAGCGCGGAACGATCTGGTTCCCACACTGCTGGCCTAACGCCTTCTTTCTGGATGCTGTTCCAGTGCCTCGGTTAGCACAGCAGACTAATGGATGCCTAGCTGCGTGCCGAGAGTGAAAACCAGCATTCTGAGCTTGCTTCTGTATAGGAGGACAGGGTCAAGTCCAACTCCTGCACACGAGCATCTTGTCTCCCTAGCACATTTGGCAAAGGGTTTTTGGACAAGACCCCAAAAGCACAGTCAACAAAAATACAAACAGAAGAGTGGTATTATACCCAATGAGAAGTTTCTACACGGCAAAAGAGCGACCAACAGAAAGGTAAACTATAGAAGACAAAGATGCTAGCAAACTGTTTGAGTAACAAAGGATTAACATCCAGAACATATAGTGGACTAAAATAACTCAGTAACAAAAAGCTAATTACTCCAATTTAAAATGAGCAGATGATCTGAATACACATTTCTGAAAATAAGATACACAAATGGCTAGTGAGTCCAGGAAGAAATGCTCTGCACCACTAATCCCCAGGGAGAGGCAAATCAGAATCACAGGTTGCCTCGTACCACTGAGAAAGGTTAGCACCAAAGACAACATTTCATAACAAATGCTGCGGAAGACGTGGCCAAAGCCGAACTCTTAGTGTTGATGGGAAGGTAAATTAGCACAACCACCACGGGTACCTCAGAAAACTGAAAATAGATCCACCATATGACCCGACTATCCCATCTGGGTGTACACCCAAGGGGGACAAGTCAGTGTATCAGACAGACATCTGCACATCTGTGCTCACT